ACTGGCTGCCACTTTCGGGTAAATTCATCAACTTAGTCACTGTCAATAAGCCAGTACCCGTCAGAGACAGATTTTACTGCAACTTATTCAGTCAGTGAAGGTAACACTGGCTAATGATCACTATATAGCACCCCACAAAGATATCATAGCCTTTCTTTATACCATTCAGTTACATTAAGTAATGTTCAATGGAATTTTACAGATAGAAGGAGAAGATCAGTATTTCCACATCACGAAAAACAGAAAACTAGTCAGTTAAAACTACAGCTTTCGTTGAGGTCTCAAGCTTGATTTTGCAAACTTCAGCAGGGTACATGACATGCTTTTTAAGCAAATTGCTACAGGAAGTTCAAGGTGGAGCCCAAGTGACAGTTTTTCTTATTAAACTACTTACTGTATTCTAGGCACTGTGCTAAGTACTGGGGCTACAAAGAGAGGCAAAAAACAAACAAACAAACAAAAAAACACATTCCCTGCTCTCAAAAGCTCGCATTCTAATGAGGGAGAGAACATGCAAACAATTGTGTAATAATAATAATATTTATATGATGCTTCAACATTTGCAGAGTGCTTTGCAAATATGATCTTATTTTATCCTTACAACAAACCTGGGAAGTAGGTGCTATTATTATCTTCATTTTGCAAATAAGGAAACTGAAACAGACAGGGAATTTTAGAGGGAAGGAACTAAGATTAAGGACTGGGATAGGCTTCTTGCAGAAGGTAGGACTTTAACTGAGACTTGAAGGAAGCCAGGAAGCAGAGGGAAGGAGGGAAAGATTTCTGGGCATGAGGGGCAGTCAATATAAGAATGCTCGCAAGGTAGGAAAGGACCAGGTCATAAAGCCTGAGGACTTTAAAAGTTAAACAAAGGATTTTATATTTGATCCTGAAAGAGTAGAGATTCATTAGTATTTATTGAATAGAGAGTGACATAGACCTGGGTTTTAGGAAAATCTTTTCGAATGGAGGGTTGACTTTGGGAGAAAGAAACTTAGGCAGGGAGACCAACCAGAAAGCTGTTATAGTTATTCCTTCCACATCACCACTTTCCTCATTAAGGTTTTGATATATGGTAGGTGGGCATAAGAAATCAAATAGGAATTTTGGGGGAGTTTTATGGAAGCTGCAGATGACACATGAAGGTCAGCAGATTACACAGAGTCTATGACCAAATACTTAACCCAAATTTTACAATAAGACTTGGCAACAGATTGTAAATAGAGGCTGAAAGAGAGGAAGGATTTGAGGATGACCTACATTATGACCCTGGGTGACAGAAGGATGGATGGTGGTGCCTTCTATAGTAATAGGGAAGTTAAGAAGCAGGGAGAGTCTGGGGAGAAAGATAACCAGTACACTCTTTGACATGTTGGGTTCAAGATGTCTATGGGATATCCAGTTTGAAATAATCAATAGGCATTTGGTGTGAAAGTAAAGGACAAGAGAAAGGTAGGGCTAGAATAAATAGATCTGAGAATCATCCTCATAGAAATAAAAGTTGCATACAGGCTTGGTACCTCAGTTTCCTTATCTATAAAATGAGTATATTAGATCAAAGTTCTCTTTCAGTTTTAAGTCTATGATCCTCCCAAAGGCATATAAAGTCCTATTATTATTTTTTACTTTTTTGGTGACCTTTTGTTGTATTTTCAGTCTATCCATTGTCCTTCCCTTACCCAGACCAAAAAATCCCAGATTTCTATAATGAGCTCTCTTCAATTTGCTCTGAAGTACTTAATTCACCTCACAGCCCCCCTTTCTCCTTCTGGTACAGATCCATGCCCATGGTGTCAGTGCAGCTCATGTCATATCACCCTAATCTTTTTGGTGGTCAAAGAAGGAAACTATCTTTTGTTCCCCACATGTAATGAGTCTAGGACAAGGACATCTGCTTGTTGATAGAAGGGGAAATCTGAGTGGCTGGCTAAATATTTGACTAGCAGCAGCAGGAAGTAAGAAGGGGAAATAGTGTAGCTCTTGATCTAAGCAAGATAGTCATTTACTCAGCAGGTTTGGCAGAGACTGTATCAATTAAAGCTAGAGGTGAGTTGTAATCCAGTCAAACCCGTTGCCAGGCGTGGGAGGAAGAGGCTCCTCTGAGAATACCATGTGAATTACCTCAGCTGTTAAGACACCCAAACAACCCCACCTACTAGGAAGACTGGTAACTGGACAGCTGACCTTCCTCTTACAGGTGCCATTGAATCCCTTGCTCTTAAAGCTAATCTTCATCCAAGCAACTGGTTCAGTATGTGTTATTGAGCCTGAGCCTTTGAGCTCAACGTGAGAACCACCAAGCAATAATAAGAACTATTCCCAATATTCATTCTCAAAGCGTGTAATGCAATTCCTCTTCACCTTCACTTCCTAAGCTTTCCTCAAACCTCAACTCAGATGTCACTTTCTAAATAAAGCCTATCCTGATGCCACCATTTGCTAGTATCCTACTCCACCTCAACATTATAGTATATTTAATTTGTTTATAGTTTGTGTTCTTCTACATACCTCAGAAATTGACATGATTTGATCAGTGGGAATGACATTAAGGAAAAAGCATTTCTGTTTGCTTTGCTGCTGCGCCTTAAGGAAGATGAGACCATTCCATCTTACTTGTGGCTGAAACCTTCCCTATGTGTTGTTTCCTCCATTAGAATGTGAGTTCCGTGGGGGCGGGGGGGGAGGGAGAGGGCTGCCTGACTTTCCAGTTTGCGTCCCCAGGGCTCACATAGTTCTTTACATATAATAAATGTCTAATAAATGCTTTATTCATTCATGCCAACATGTTGTTTTTCCCCAATAAAATGGAAACTCCTGGAGGGTAGAGATTATTCCATTTCTGTCTTTTTATACCTGGTGTCTAGCACAAAGTTCTTGGCACATTGAAGAGTAAGGGAATAAGCATTTGTTAAGCACCTACTATGAGCCAGACACTGTGCTAAGTGCTTTAAAACCTTCTCTCATTTGATATTATCTCACTTGGTCCTCACAAAAACCCTGTGAAGTAAGTGACATTATTATCTCTGTTTTTTTTTAGTTGAGGAAACTGAGGCAGACAGATTAAGTGACTTGCCCAGGATCATATTTAGGAAGTGTCTGATTCTGGATTTGAACTCAGGTCTTTCTGACTCCAAACCCAACATTTTCTGTCCACTGTGCTACCAGCTACCAGGTGCTTTGTTAAACATCTAGATACTTAATTATTGCTTATTGAGTGAATGAATTATTGATACCTGGAATCACAGAAACACCTGCAGATGCTACTGTGAGCCATACTCCCCACCACCATTTTTAATTGATGTCTTAAAAAAAAACTCATGGCCATTTTCTGCTATATGCCCCTCATTTCCACATCACATTGAACCCTCCACTGTGACAAAGGAAATGTTAATCCCAAAGGAACAAGAAAGGAATCAAGTTAGTGCCTATAATATTCTTCCCCTACAGTTCACTACTCTACCAAGAGGAAGAATATATGTTAAATATTCTGTTTTTCAGAACCATAATTGTTCATTGCAATTAATCTAAGTTTAGTAACATTGCCATTTGCTGTCTCAGTAGACAGGCTAGACCATGTTGAGGGTAACCAATAGGCCTCCAGCTCATGGTGAGTTAGAGGGATGTATACCTCAAACATGCAAAGACATCCTTTGGTGCAATGGATGGATGAGAACAATTTCTTCCAATGGTCATGAAGGGAGCAGTTAGGTGGCACAGTGGATAGAGTACTGGCCTTGAAGTCAGGAGGACCTGAATTCACTTACTAGCTGTGTGACCTTGGGCAAGTCACTAGACCCCAGTTGCCTCAAAAAATAAAAATAAAAAAAGAACCAATGTCCATGAAGGTGGCTGAAGCAGGAGCAGAGGAGGGCTTAGAGCTTGGATTATATGTTGAAGACTCCAAGGTCATCTACTACACCCTGGACCATCACCAGTTGTCTTGATCTTTATCCTAGCATTGGATTTTAATGACTCTAGAAGACAGAGTGAGACTGATGACTTTGTGCAACTCTGTCTCACTTAAATCCAATTCACATGATATCACCTGGTGATGTCATTGATTCTCTTCAAAAATGAAGGATGAATGAATGCTTGTGTATATTGTTTTTTTGGTTCTGTTTTCTTCACCTATGTGAAGGTGACTAAGGATTAAGCTGCTTATATTTTTGAGGAAGAGACAGCAGAAACATAATAACTGCTTTCAAATATTTAAAGGATGCTTATGTGGAAGAGGGAATAATCTTATTTTATTTGGCCCCAGAGGGCAGACCTGGGTGCAGCCTTGAAAGGTGCAGAGGTAGAGTTAAGTTCAACAGAAGGGAACACTTCCATGCAATTAGTAATGTTCCAAAGTCCAATGATACTTGGGAAAAGAGTGAGTCTTCTACCACTTGAGGTCTTCAAACTGGTGTTGAAGGACCACTTGTTAGACATGTTGCAAAAGGAATTCCTGTGCAAATATAATTTGGACTAGATTATCTCCAACATTTCTTTTAGCTTTGGGATTTTGTAAATCACATCCTGCTCAAGTTTTCTGAGTCCACAGCTCGAGATAATTGTAGATGGGCAATTATTTGAAGACTTTTTTATTCTGCAAAACTGTGTGTAAATTCATTTTTCACTGGTGGCTCAGTGATTGCCTTGTGAGGGCTGCTGAGTCTTTAAAACATCTAATCCATTCTAAAAACCTGTATGAAGAGAGAGACTTGGGCATTAGTTAAGAGTCTGATGACAGATAAGTATTGATGAAAGCCAGCTGAGAGTCAATGTATCTTTGCTTAGGATAATCACTCCTTTTTTTTTTATCTCTTCCCTAGTCCTGACTTCCTGCCTCTGACGTAGGATGCTGAGAGTCTAAAGGGAACCTGTTGGAGGTTCCAATTAATTCTTTGTGGGAGAAAGACACTCACTGTCAGATAAAAGGCAATAATAAATCCATCTATATTGCCAGTTTCACAGAACATAGTTTCTGCTATTAACAGCTGGTACTTCAGGTCACAATGTGCTTTAAGGTAAGAGTTTTATTCTCTTGGATGTAACATGATCCTTGCTTGTGATTCCTCATTCAAAATACAAAAAGGATTTGACTTAAAATCTATGTTACTCTTTTACTTGTTACCTAATTTCCCTTTGTTCCTTTTGTTCAGGTATTTCTCACCTCTTTTCTTTCTCTCTTTTCTTGCGTCTCTCTGTATCTTTGCCTCTTTGTGTCTCTGTTTTATGTTACTGTACCTCTTGGGCAACTTTTTTTGAAGCCTAATCTCTGCATATGAATGAAAATCATAACTGAATTCATGGAGTTCTCTGCAAAATTATTTATTAAACTTCATTTTTTATCAGGGAAAGTATTCTGATTCTGGCACTGAAGTTAATGCCATCATTATTGCATAGTGGATATAGACTGTTGGACTTGAAGTCAGAATAAAAGTTCAGATCTTGCCTCTGAGGTTTATTAGATGTATGACCATGGACAAGTCACTTAACTTTTCTGAAATTAAGTTACTTCTTAGATGAGAGGGTTGGACTAGATGTCTTTTTAGGCCTCTTCTATGTCTAAATCTATGATCCCATATCAATCACTTTGTAGATCAATTGATCTAGTAGGTATGCTGTAGTTTCAAGAATATTCCACTTTCCTGTCACTTTTTATAATGGACTATATTTGCATTTGAGGAAAACACATTATTGTTGGGATCTTAGAGGAAATCTAATGCAAATTTGAGGCTGCCTTATTCATTTGGATCCCTGCCCAAACAAATAGTTGGTATTGAGTCCCTGACAAACCCTAACATTGATCTTATTTTTCATTTTTAAAGTATATCTTTGATTCTACCACAGTCATTAAGATAAAAAGATTCACAAGAAAATGAAATTTGCTCCAGAAAGTATTCAATCAACAAAGATTTAATGTGTGATCATGAGCCAGTGCAGGATAATTATATGAAATCTATTTACATTAAAAAAAAACTGACCATGAAATTCTGTATTTTAGCTACACCAAATAACAAAATCTATCTGAGGAGGGTCTTGCAGTAAAAACAAGGAGCTGAGATGCTTGGCCTCTGCTTGTAGCTTTCTTACTGCCAAGTAGAGAAGCACCATGATATAATGAAAAGGGAATTGGACCAAGAGGTAGAAGCCCTGGATTTTTGTTCTAACTCTGCTCCTAAGTAGCTGTGTATCCTTGGGCACATCATTTCCCTTCTCTAGGTCTTAGCTTTCTCACTTGTAGAATGAGGTGGTAGAATGGTGGACGAGATGACTGCTGAGATTCTCTCCAATGTTTCTATGATGAATTTTATGATCTAAGCCATTACTGATTTTGATATCCCAGTCTCCCCAGTATTGTAGGATTAGTCTGCATCAATTGCTTACCAAGAGGGTGCTCTGAGATTCAAATAGAGTAAATGGTAATTATGGAGGATAGTTAGAAACAGTGAAAATTTAGTTTAGTTGGATATTTAAAAGCTAAATATATAAAAATAAAGTCAAACTAATGGACTTGGAGTCCATTACACTTTGGATAGATATCTAACAGAGAATTTTGGCAATAGTATATTTCTTCCCATTCCCAAAATGAAATGGGAGACCTGTAGCTCTGAGAGAATTAATTAGGTTCTGGGGTAGGGGTGAGGTGGAAAGACAACAGCACGATGGACTTTCTACCACATTCTAGGCTATCTTCTGTACTTCCTGCCGATGGCTGAAGGAGGGAAGAGAATCCCAAAAGCTGGTGCTGGTGGTGGTATTTGTGGCACTCCTGCTGGACAACATGTTACTGACTGTGGTGGGTATGTTCTGGGATCGTCCCTGGTTGGGGTAAAGTCCTATAGTCTCATCTGTGCTGGTCACATCTCTTACCACAGGAATATTGGCTCAGAGGGTGATGTGGTTTAGGAAGGAAGGATAAAGACTGGTGCGTCTTAAGCATGCCAAATGGAGGGAGTCAACTTCAAGGCAGATGGATGTGAGGTGAACTTCAAACAACAGGAGAAGGAATTAAAGAAAATCCGGGCATTAGGCAGAATTGTAGAGTTCACCGAATACTCCATCCTCATCCTTTTATTCTCCCTTCATCATCCTCCCAAGGTGCCCTGTAGGTTTATACTCTCTCCCCCCCCCCCCCTCAGCTGCCTATAACTTCCAAATGTGGAACCCTAATGGAGATTACCCATCCTATTCTCTGGATTTTCCCAGTTTCCATTCCATCAAATTATTTGTCTAGCTTCCCATTCCCTTTGTGCTTTGTTTCCCCACTCCAGATTATAGTCAGATAATCCGGTTTGATTTAATCTGTTCCTATGCAGTAAGAAATGCCAATATGTTGTCACCTCTGGGTAACATACTTTTGAACAGTGGCCACCTGGATGTTTTATTAAAACATCTTATCTAAGTCTGAAGGAGCAACTCTAAAAGTGGATGTTTTTAGGCACAATAACAGTCAGAATGCTTTTAGGTAGGCAAGCCCTTGCTGCAGGCACCCTTTCAAATCTCATCATGTAGACCTACTTTACATGCACAAGTACCCTGCTTTTCCAGCTTTTTATCTGGACCAGATAGAGGCAGAATCACAACCTGCCCTGTCATCTGTCACCTACCCTGTCACTTACCATCTGTCTTTAATTGGATTCTAGTGCCCATCGTTCCTACCTTCCTTTATGCAACTGAATTCAAAGGCGCCAGTATGTCAGAGACTTTGCCCTTTGGCAGCAGTGCCCCAGGGATTCTCCACAATGCGAACTTTTCTTCCATCTTCTCCTACTTTGATAATACTACAATGGTGGTTGAAGGAAGCAAACACTCAGAAAATGAATGGATGAATGGTACATTTGGCACCCTACAAGGCATTGGACCCAGCTTGGCACCTAGGAACAACTGTCTGCAAGGTACTGAGTTCCTGGAGGAGGAGAACCTACGGGTTGGACTTCTGTTTGCCTCAAAGGCTTTAATGCAGCTTCTGATTAACCCCTTTGTGGGGCTCCTCACAAACAGGTATATTTTAATAGAGACCCCAACATCCCAAGGTGGTTGGGAGCTCAAGCATCTATTTCTATCAAGAGACATTATTTTTAAGCTAGAGGAGGAGATTGGGGAATTTCAACATTTCTGGTCCCGTTGGGGAAAAAGAAAACTTTGAATATTTATAATAATGAAATACTCAAGTCACAAGCTTGAGTCCCAGATCTGTTTGCAGTATCCAGTGGCTTGATGCCTTCTAAACCCCTAATCAGGTTTGAACCAAGAAGGGAGAAGACACAGGATGTGCCCATATCCTGTCAATGCTCTAGAGCAGTGTTGGAGAACCCGCGGCCTTGAGGTCACATGTGACCCTCTAGGTCCTCCAGTGTGGCCCTTTGACTGAATCCAAATTTTACGTTGTTCTGGACCTAGGAGGACCTAGAGGGCCACATTAGGCCTTGAGGCTGCAGGTTCCCCCACCCCTGCTATGAAGTGTGATCTTTAAACAATAAGGGGTTGGAAATAGTCAGGATTTCATTGTCATGACCTAGAGTGTTGGTAAACATGAATAAGATTATTCTGAACTTTCAAAGATACACACATACACACACATATATATATATAACTATACAAACGTATACGTGTGTATGTTTACCTATATCTATATATGTAGAGATAGACATATATAGATAGGTAGATAGATAACTTAACTGTGATGATAGTGAGGAAAGAATATGTAATTATATGGGTATATACAAAAATTTGAGCCTGAATCTAGATTCATGTACTGGATGGTCTCTTATTCACATATGCAAATGAACATGCTAACCCTGCCTGGGATATAAGTGCATGAGTATGAAAAGGTACATAGAATATCCTCAGACTTTGTTATCCCTCTACCCCGAAAAAGCACAACAAGGTGGCAAATATAATGTAGCTACAGATAGCAATAGATAGTAGGTATAGATATCCCCTATTATCATCATACATTCTCTTTTCCATTTTAAATATATATGTGTGTATGCATGTATATACCTACAAAATATCCAAACTCCCTCTAACGTGAAACATATACATTTCTTAGAGTTGTTTTTGCTTCCCTCTTAGGATTGGCTATCACATCCCCATGTTTGCTGGCTTTGTCATCATGTTTCTCTCTACAGTCAGTAAGTCCTGAGCTTCTCTTCTTTGGCTTCCTTCAAATTCTATCTTGTAAACAACAGGTAATGAGGCAGGGTCAGATTATCTCAGAGGATAATCAGAAATTTTAATTCAGAGTCCTTGAACACACACATCTGAGCTATTTGGTGTGTGTGTGTGTGTGTGTGTGTGTGTGTGTGTGTGTGTGTGTGGTCAGGAAAGGGAATGGAGGGTAGGGTCCTGGCAGGAACAGAATAGCAAAGGTTTGCCACTTCTGCAAATCCATTCTAGCAATGTAGCATCCTGGGAATTTGGTAGGAGTTACCCAATCTTGGAATAAAGGAGAGACACTGGGGGATGGTAAATGGGAGTGGAAAGTGGGGAGGGGTAATAGGGACTTAGGAAATCATGATCACCATTAAAATGTGGAACCTACGTGTCAGTTGTCTGTGTGTACTCATGTCTGTCTATCTATTTAATACCCTAGACAGGATTAATATAATAATATCACATTTTTGGAAAGAGAAAGTTACAGGTTTACGGTAAAGTGAAGGTTGATGAACAGAAGATGAAATTATAGCTAATGGTAAATTTTCAGAGAGTCTACCAACAGTCAAAATAAAGTTGATAAAGGTTATAGGCAGCTGAAGTTCAATCAAAAATGAAAGAGAAAGACAAATAATCTCCTAGAAGTAAATATTGTATATATTTATAATAAAAAGGAGATTCAAGGAAGACAAATAACAAAATGAAATAAGTGAAAAGAAATGGTAAAGGTCAAAGGCTGGTTAATTTGTGAATAGCCAGATTTTAATACAGGTATTACCAAGGGGGCAACTGAGGTCGTTGTTGGTAAGCTTGAAAAGTGAATGAAGTGTAGTGGATTGAGTGCAGGGATTAGAGCCCAAAAGACTTGAGTTTGAGTCCTCTCTCATACACTCACCAGTTGAGCAATGCTAGGCATCTCTTAGCCTTCTGGAGCCTGTTTCCTCATATGTATAGTGGAGTTAACGATAATAACACCTACTGCACAGAGTTGTACTAAGGATTAAAGGAATGAATGCATCTAAACCCCTTTATAAGCCTAAAAGCACTATGCAAATGTGAATTAATATTAGCTCTCCCTTACCCAATCCATTTTCTCCTTTCTCTTCTTCCACCTCAGCTTCTTATGTTATTTTATCCCCCATTTTACTTTTTCACCTTCCCTCAAAAAATCAGCTTTCACAAACATTTGTTGCTCACCTACTATGTGCAGAGCAATTTACCATTTCTACCTTTTTGTATCGCTAAAACTTAGAACAATATCTTATCCTCCTCCTCCTTTTATTTATTTTTTTATGGTAGGAACCTATGATTTCATTGGCATGGGGAACTCCTGATATAGAAATTACTTTCACTAAAGCAGTCTGATGTCACCTGTAACTTATAGTCTTAGATAGTTAGTTACCCGGGGCACTGAGAGGCTAAGTAACTTAACCATGTTGAGTGATTCAGCCATGGTTAACCATGTGGTTAACCATGTTCAGTCAGTCAGTGTCAGAAGCTGAACTTGAACCCAGGTCTTCCTAATTCCAAGGCTGGCTCTTTGTCTCTTGGCTCTCCTATCTGCTCCATGAGGTCTCTCTTCTCATACACACTAAGTGCTTAGCAAATATTTGTTGATTTAATTGAACATCTACTGTGCCATCAGAATTATACTAGTTACTATGAGGTAAAAGAGTATATCACTAAGTCTCATATAAGTAGTTTCAAATTAAAATGGTGAGTATTTTGGAGCAGATAGCTTTTATTTATTGGTGCTATTGATCTCTTAAGCTTTATTTCTCTTTCATTTGCCAATGCAATTACATATTAGTCTGAGCAAAGGAATAGATAATGTACCTTGGAGACTGCAAGAAGCCTGATTCCCCAGTAGGCAATAGGGCTGATAACCCTGCTAGGTGTTAAATGCCGATGGAGTTGAGAGAACAGATAGATAACAGTGAAATGGGAAAGTCAGGGGAAAATTTCACAGAGAAGATAAATCTTAATCTAAGCCTTAAAGGATAGGTAAGATTTAAAACATGGTCAGAGAAGGGGGAAAGGACATTCAAAGTAGGACGAAGATACAAGTGAATAAAGGGACAAAAGTTATGTTGACTCTTAGGCTTTACGTAATTTCTATAATAATAATAACAATAAAAATAATAATTAAGCATGATGAACAAAGAGGTTAAAAATGTACAGAAGTACTTTTGGAACAAATAGATCTAACTTTACAAACCAATAATAATGACCAAAACTAGGTATTTGTCGAATGCCAATCATTAGTTAATAAGCACTGTGCTAAACACTGGGGATACAAAAAATGTCAAATCAAATTGACAAATATTTATTAAGCACCTACTATGTGCCAGGCACTACTAAATGCTGGAAATATAAAAAAGGCAAAAAAATAAATAAATAAACAATCCCTGCTCTCAAGGAACTCAGAATCTAATGGGAGAGACAACTTAAAAAAAAAGTATACAAACAAAATATATACTGGAGAAACTAGAAATGGTTTTAGAAGGAAAACACTAGCATTAAAGGGACTGGGTAAAGCTTCCTGAAGAAGCTAAGATTTTAGCTGAGACACAAAAGAAGTTGGGGAAGCCAGAAAAGCCAGGAACTAGAAAAAAAAGGAAGGAGAGAAATCCAGACTTTAGAGAACAGCCAATGAAAATGCTCAGCATGAGGAGATGGAGAGCCTTTTAGAGGAACAGAAAGGAGGCAACAGATTAAAGGGTAAGTGGAGTGAAATAAAGTATAAGAAGCCTGGAAAGGTAGGAAGGGGCCAGGTTATGAAGGGCTTTGAAAGCTAAATACAGGCCTTCTTATTTTTATGTATATATTTTATTTTTTTCTCAATTATATGTTAAAACCATTTTAAACATTTTTTTAAAGTTTTGAGTTCCAAATTCTGTTTCCCTCTTCCCCTCTCCCCTCCTGCCTCCCTGAGACAATAAGCAATCTGGTATAGATTATACATGTGCAATCATGTAAAACATTTCCATATTAGTCATTTTGTATAAGACTCAAAAGAAAAGAAGAGAAAGAAAGAAAGAAAGAAAGAAAGAAAGAAAGAAAGAAAGAAAGAAAGAAAGAAAGAAAGAAAGAAAGAAAGAAAGAAAGAAAATACCATGCTTCAGTCTATATTCAGATAGGATCAGTTCTTTCTCTGGAGGTGGATAGCTTGCTTCATCATGAGTCCTTTGGGATTGTCTTAGATCATTGCGTTGCTGAGAATAGCTAAGTCATTCCTAGTACTTCATCATATGATAAAGACTTTTATATTCTGTCCTGAAGGTAATAGGGAGTAATTGGAATATATCGAATATGTGTGTGTCTGTGTGTGTGTGTGTGTGTGTGAGACACAATCATACCTATGATTTAGGAAGATTTCTTCAATAGCTGAGTAGAGGGTGGATTAGATTTCAATAGTCCAGGTGATGAGGCCCTTCACCAGGGTTGTGGTAGTGCCAGAGGAGAGAAGTGAAAGTATATGTAAGATAAATGTTGTATAGGTAGAATTGACAGGACTTGGCAAAAGATTGGATGTGAGAAGTGAGATTGAGGATTCGATGATTCCTAGGTTGGCAAAGCAAAAACGTGGTCTTCTATCTAAAGGAGCTTACATTCAAATGTAACTGAAAGTGTTTTATCTCCAGATGCCTACGAATTAGCTATGATTTCAGATCAAAATCATAAACTGCTCCATGGATGATACCCACATAAACTCAAGCAACAAGTTGTTGACAGAGAAACATAAGTCAAATGGCTTAGTCATGCAAGATTTATTTATGGAAATGGAGGTTTACGATAGTGATTTAAGATTATGTCATTACCACCAGAAATTTTGAAAATGATATCCATAAGGGGCGCAGACTTGTTGATTGATGAAGATTGTGCAATGAATACTGTGCAACATATCATAGCAGGTCACGAAAATTCTGTATCTACAGGATATCTAGAAAAACATGATCAAGTGGCTAGAATTATACACCAGAAGTCTGTTAATTTAACAGACAACAAATGCCCACACTACAAACACAAATCCCAAAATATCCTTGATATTTTGTACAAGAACCAGAGCACTATTGCAGACAAAACTGTTGTCTGCAACCACTGAGATATAACATTGATCTATAAAAATTTAAGACCATTGCTAATGGATGTCACCATACTAGGAACTCATAATCTCCAAACTACACAGAATGAAAAGTTCTCAAAATATAGAGACTTTGTTGAAGAAATTAAAACTGTATAGCAATAGGATGAGGCATATGTCATACCTGCCAGACTATCAGAAGATTCATTAGGTGAGTCTACAGAAAAACTTAGAACCAAATATCTTCAGTCAGTTACATATCCTGAGCAATAGTCCACAGAACATTTAGTTATAAAAGAATAATAGCAGAATAGCAACATGTCTTCAGACCATTTCTATTTGAACCCCATCAAAAAGATGAGAATGAGATAATGATAGTTCAGACATACAACATTTCAACATGTTTTTATTGATTTTGGTTTTGCATTTTCTAAATTTCCTCTGTATTTCTCTCCCTCACCACCCCACAGAACCATCTGTTATAATTAAGACTTTTTTTTTAGGAGAAGAGGAAAAAAATTCAGCAAAACTAATCAACATATGAAAAAAATCTGACATAATATGTTATGGTCCATACCTGTGGACATCTACTTCTGCAAAGGATCAGGTCCTCTCATATCTCATCTTTGGGAACAAGTTTGTTCTTTATAAAATCACAGCATTGTTTCAATCGTTTCATCATTGTTCTTTCATTTACATTCATTGTACATGCTGTTTTCCTGGTTCTGCCTATTTTACTTTCCATGATTTTCTATTTTTGTCATGTTTATCATTCTTTTGTTTTTTTAATTATATTTCATTTTTTTCCATTATCAAAAATCTACCTTCCTTACTGCCCAACTATTTCCCCCAACCAAAAACAAAACCCATTACAAACATTTATAGTCAAGCAAAAGAAATTTTCTCTTTGGTCATATCTTAAAAAAAAATAAATGACTCCTTTTACCCTCTGAGTTGCTTCACCTCTCTATCAGAACGTGAGTAGTACACTTCATTATTAGTCTTCTGGAATCATGTACCACAATTTATTTAGCCATTCCCCAATTGATAACCATCAACTTTGATTCTAGCTCTTTACTATCATAAAAAGTACTGCTATTCAGGCGGATTTCGGAAAAACCTGGAAAGATTTGTATGGACTGATCCTGAATGAAGTGAGCAGAACCAGGAGAACATTATACACAGTAACAGCCACATTATGTGATGACTAACTTTGAGAGACTTAGCTCTTCTCAGCAATGCAAGAATCTAAGACATCTCCAAGGGACTCATGGTGGAAAGAGCTATTCTGGATGCAGATCAAAGCATACTATTTGCTCTTTTATTTTTCTTCTGTTTTGTTTTGTTTCCTCTTTCTTGTGGTTCGTCCTATTGGTTCTAATTCTTCTTTATGGCATGACTAATGTGAAAATATATTTAATAGGAATGTATATGTAGAGCCTATATCAGATTGCATGCTGTCTTGGGGAGGACAGAGGAAAGGGAAATGAGAAAATTGGGAACTCAAAAGTTTATGGAGGTGAATGTTGAAAAATAAAAATAAATTAAAAAAGAAAAGAAAAAAAGTACTGCTATAAATATTTTGCCATATATGTGCACTTTCTTTTTGTCAACTACCTCCTTGAAGTATGTAACACTAGAATCTCTGGCTCAAAATTTATGGGCATCTGATTCATTTTATTTGCATAATTCCAAATTTCTTTGGAATACTTTTACTAATTCACAAGTGCACCTCAGTTCACCTATCTCTGTGTATTCCCATCTTTTGTTATCTTTGTCAATTTGCTGAGTGTGAAGTAAAATCACAGGTTTCTTAAGGTTTTTATTTCTCTTATTATTAGTGGTTTGGATCATTCTTTCATATGATTCTTACTTCTACAGTAATTTTGGTTCCAAAGGGCTTTAGGGTCCATTTCATCTTCATAACAACTTTGTGGGAGTAAAAAAAAAGTCCATTTTATGGATGAGGAAATCAAGATTCAAAAGGTCCCATCACTATTAAATGGTAGAGCTGGAATTTTAACACATCTTCTGGTTTAATATTTGGTGTTCTTTTCATTGACTCCTCTTC